AAGAATGCTGGGCAGGTTTGATAGTCCAGCAAGGATGGGACCACCAGGTATTGACAAGCCTGCCCACCCTGATCTTGATATTCCTGAAGGAGGTCCTGAACACTACTCCGAAGGGAAAGCCGGTGATGGAATTGTCTACCTGAACGATGATGGTGAATGGGTAAAATTGAACGCTCGTGGCCATCCCTATCGAGTTGATGAACGCGGTCGTCGTCGAATCTCATCCACTACACGACCATCCAAGTATTCTCCAGAAGAATGGCGAAAGATATCACCTGATGTTCGGAAAAGTATAGCCAAGGCTGAGGAGAAGAAAGTGGAGGCTGAAGTGGAGAAGAAGAAAAGCGACACGTTGATCAAGGCAAGGGAAGAAAAGAAGAAGAAAGAAGACAAGAAATCATCTAAATCAAAACCCAAAGATGGAGAAGATGACCACATTACGGGAGTAGCCAAACCACAAGATCATGTCCGTAAGGGGGAAGTGTTCCAGTTTGGGAAAACGTCCTCAACTCCCATCGGGAGCGGGACCAACACTAGTCATGAAACACTTTCTTCATCGTCCGACACTGATGTCCCCGCTGATGACGACTTCCTCATCGACTGGGACGAATGGTCTGAGGTCGAAAATGGGCATGGCCCAAAGGCTACTTGGCACAACAAGCACATGTATGACTTTAGCCAGGGAAAGGTAGTAGCGACAGCTACATTGCATGATACCGGACCCAATGTCCTTGAGCCTTCAAACCAAAACACAAATTTCCATTCATTCCCTTGTATGCCGTGTATCCATCAATATGATCATCACCGGGACAAGATCACAACAGATGATGGTGGAATTAACATCAACAAAATGTTCAACACGGCAGTGGCAAGACCGGTTGCCAAAAAAGAGATGATGGAAAATGAAGAAGCTAGAAAGGCCATGAGAAAGGAATGGTTAGGTCAACATGCTGCTGGAGTGTATGACTTCAGCGTGGTCAGGGAGTACGATGATGTTGTTCGAGAAGCAAAGAGGAATGGCACTGAGGTACACATGGCCAGGATCCATGGGATCTGCGTTGAAAAGAACTATCAGTTGCCTAAAGGTAACCCCAGCAGAAAGTTTAAAGGACGAGGAGTACTGCTGGGCAATCAGGTAAAGAATCAGTTCTGGGAAGCTGCCTTCTTCCAAGACCTGGGCAACTCACCTGCAACCTTTGAGGCGTCGAGATGGGCAGATTTTTATGGTTGTTTGCCGGGCCATGGTGTAAAACTAGCAGATGCCATCCAAGCTTACATTCAAGCAGTCCTCACAGGGCCACCATGTTGGGTAGAACTACCCGAAGATGCATGGCCAGATGACATTGACTTCCGGAAGTTCCGTAGACCAGTAGTGAGACTAGTTAAAGCACTCTATGGTCATCCTGATTCAGGTACAATGTGGGAACAGCATTGTGATCGGAAAGTACGGGAGTTAGATTTTGTACCCGTTGGTGAAGAATGGCCGTCAATGTATTTTCATAAGAAGCTTCAATTATTGCTAGTTATTTATGTCGATGACCTGAAACTGGCTGGTCCGGAAGAGAACCTGACTAAAGGATGGGAGATGCTACGTTCTAAGCTGAACATTGAGCCTGAGACTGACTTGGGACTCTATTTGGGATGCATATTGAGCAAGGGATCTTCCAAACTTCATGATGGTACCCCGGTATCAACTATGACCTACGACATGGAGGGTTTGTTGAAACTGTCAGTTGAAAGGTATCTTGACATTGTTGGGAAAGATACAAAGTTGAAACATGTATCAACACCAAGTTTACCTGAAGAAACCAAGAAACACAAATCAAGGGCACCATGTCCAGGGGATCCCAAGAAGAAGGTATCCTGTCCTTGGTGTTCGCACGAATTTGATCCAGACGCTCCGGAGTTCTACAAACCCGGGACCATAGGGGAAGACGTCTCCCCTGGGAAGTCTGCACGAGGCGCCTTGGCGCCACATGCTGCCAGCGTGCTCATGATTCGACTTGTTACGGTCTATTAATTCTTTGGCCAGGAATGTGACCAAATGGACAGTCGACGATGATGCTAAACTGTATCATCTAATGTGCTATGTCAACTCAAGTTTGTCAAAACGTATGACTGGATGGGTTGGCAACAAATTTGACGATTTGTCACTATCTTTATTCGCAGATGCGGATTTTGCAGGTTGTGCACAAACATTGAGGTCTACATCAGGATCTCATATGCACATACAGGGAAAACACACCCGCTTCCCGTTGTCTGGAGGCAGCAAACGGCAGGGATGCGTAAGTCATTCCACACCTGAGGCTGAAATCGTGGCAGCAGACGTCACACTTCGAACGATGGGTTTACCTGCATTAAGTATTTGGGAAACATTGACAGGGAGATCGCCCAAACTATTGTTTCATGATGACAATCAGGGCATGATCGGTGTTGTCAGGTCGGGTCGTAACCCCACTATGCGGCATCTTGAGAGGACTCATGGCATAATAGCCATCACATCCCTCCATGAACATTTCACAAGGGAGAACTACGTATTGATGTACGAGGTTACTTCCAAAATGGCCGCCGACATTCACACCAAAGGATTCAAGAACCCCCTGTCATGGAAAAGAGCTTGCATGCTTATTAATTTATTGGACCCTGGTGACATCGTTTCGAAGGAACTGCTAGACATGGTTTCACCGACTACCAATGTCGACACCACGGTTCGCCAAGTTTTTCAAACCAAAACCAATGATGTACCAAATTTTCCTTACACTGAAATTCCTATTCTACCACCTGAAGTATATCAGAAGGGTCTTTCTGGCAAGGAACAGGTACAACAATTACCCGGTATGGATCCTATTTTGGTCGTTAAAACGCCGACCTATTTCCGGAAACGTCCAAGCGGTTTGTCATTACCCAAAGATTGTTTACGCAGCACTTGGGTCTTGACCCATGGCAAGTGGATTAAAGTAGAGGATCGAGCTCACCCTGTTCAACAACAAGACCGTTTTGATCAATGGGTAGAACGTGCTTGTTTCCAGTATCATCAATCCACTGATGGCGAACCAACTGCTGCTGCTGCATGGCGTTCCGGGCAAGTCTCATCGCGACCCCCGGCGTCACAAGCACGACCAGGGCCTGCCGTATCGGTGCCATCTCGTCAGATCGACGTCCAGAAATACCCTAAACTGACTATTGGAGCTGATCAGTTGTTTTGCTACCAATCCATTGGAGACCAACCTACAACCATTCATGCAGCGCCTCATGGCACAGCTCGGGTGATCAACACGCTTCTTCGAGTTGTTCATGGGGGGAGTTCAGGTTGGGGTAGCCTTCCAATGGGACAACCCCCAACGGGCGCTCCTGACCACAATGATGACCCGTATCCTACAGAAAACAAGGATCCGAAACGACGTCGCATTGTTTTTGCTGGTGGTGATGTAGCCCACACGAGAGTGTCAAGAGACATATTCCTCAATTCCACACCATCAAGAAGAGCAAGAAAGAACCCCAAGAATGAGGATTGTAAGGATGAATGGGTATGGAAGGATGAAGTTACACTGGTGAGAGTGCACAAAACCCCAAGAAGAAGAATGTTTGATCCCAAGGAAGCTGATTTCCTACCATGTAGATTGAAACGATTCCGGGATGATCGAGAAACATACCAAGTATTCCAATCAAGCGGAAGAACAATCAATGACTCATGGAGATTGGCAGGGAATAACATCGAACGAACAAATAGAAGAAATGAATTTTGGACAGGGACTACTACATTCAAGATCATTTCCAATGCCGATATCAACAACCTAGTGGACATTGGATCTGACGTGGAGGACAGGGCATCGTGCCGGAACTCCGTAGTCACCTGCACCTTTGATGGCAACATGAAAATCATTCCATTGGATGACATGTTTATTGCCCATCAATACAAATTGAAGCATGAGACCAGAAAGGACCAGGATTGGGATATCCAAATGATACTACATCGAAAGAACGGAACAACATTGAAGTATCACTTCCAAAGATCGTCATATGATTTTGCCGGTGGACTCCTTAACAACACTGTGATACGTTTGGAACTGCATGAGATGAAAGATGAAATCCCATGTTTACTCCTCATGTGCGCAGAGACGCAAAGCATCATGACCAAAATACATCGCAAAGAACGGTTCAAACTGATGCACATCGTCACCATTACCGAAGACGATAACTTGTTGTCGAACTTTGGTAGGGCTAAATGGCGGAGGTGCATTCGAAGTGCGAGTGACTGCGTGTTCTTCGCTGGGCCTTGCACAGGAGGATCTCCATGGAATCGGTTAAACAAGAATGTCAGCGATGTCACAGCTCACAACATCCGCATGAAAGCACTGTTGTATTGGGAGCTTTGGGAAGAATTTGCATTGTGTTTGCAGCATGTACATGAGAGGTTTGCAATGGCACTATTAGAGCTTCCACGTGGATGCGATTATTGGAACGATGAAAGAATGAAGTTCATGATCCGTGGTACAGACTCTACTATTCATGAATTTGATGGATGCATGTATGGCTTGAAATCGCAATTCAAAGATGCAGGCATGGCCATCAAGAAACCATGGAGGATCGTATCGTGGGGGGTTTCATTCTTTGACTTGCATGAGAAATGTGATGGCTCACATCCACATGGTCCATGTGCAGGTAGAGAAACTCGTGCAACTCAACTATACACGGACAAGATTGTAAGATGTATCATTCGAGGAGTGAAGAATCAGATGTTGTGGAACATTGCTGAAGGGACAAAGCAACCAAAGAAAGTCAACAACAAAGTGAACATTCACAAACCAAGGAACAAAGCATGCACATGCATATCTGTTATCAATGGTGAGGATGAAGACAGAACAAACCAGCAACTTGACCAACTTCTATTTGAGTGGATCTGCCGCCGAGGTGGTGTGAAGGTGAAGCTAAGGCTCAATCCGCAGCGCGGACGGTCTACAGCTGATCTGGATCCCCCTCTGGCTGGTATCATCGACGCGATGGCAGAGAGGAAGCTCGTCACTGTCTCCGCGGCCAAAGGGTATGCAGCTTTGAAGAAGACGCTGCAGCTGATAGAGACCAAGGGTCAGGCTGGTCAACTGCCAAAAGCCTTTTCGACATATGAGGAAGCTGACAGCAGATTCTACCCTGATCGAGACCTGGAAAACTGGATAACAGTCGTACAGATTCCTCCATCGGTGGTGATTGCATTAGGCTTCGTCGCTGGTAGGATTCTCAGAACGCATGTGTCCCATGCCATCCATCTTCTTCTGAAATTGATGATGCAAGTGACAGACGCGGAAGAACTGGATTCTACCGTCTCAGATTTTGTGGACAAGGCCTCAACACTGTCGAAGCTAGTTGAACGGGGAGCTCGAGGTGATGATTTTAGCTTCCTGAGAATGTTGTGCACCAAGGAGTGCGCCATTAGAGTCGGAGAGTTCTGGGAAACTTTGAAAAGTCGGTACTCCGGCACCAACAACATGATCAACAAAACAGTGACAGTGCGTGAGCTTAGGGAGAAGATTTCCAGCACGAGTATCGTGAATATGGGATCATTGAACCAGTCACATCCTCCCGGAAATAGCCTTTGTCACAATATCAGGTTGCGAGCAGCCTGGTACACCATGACCAGAGTGTATTGGGAAAAGTGGGCATTCCACATCATGGAGCGTGACCATACCAGCCTGCCTGAGATCGAGAATAGAGCGAAGACGCTCTGGGAGATTTTGTTAGGCGAAGGCGCCAATCTTGGATACGCACTTCGACGTCACAACGCCAAGATGCACCAGGCCGGCACACCTGGTCAGTGCATCATCCTGCAGGACGTCTTGGAGGACTGGATGTCAATGAGGTATGACCTGTCGCTTGAGAGGACGGCTGCCGTCATTCACTTGCAGACGATGCTCATGGCATCGAACATGCTGCACGAATGGGCCACCAAGATGGAAACATACCCAGACCTGCAGGGCGTCAGGAAGACCATCCAAAACAAGCTGAAGAGTGTGAAAGGGTCTTTCGATCTTCGAGATGACATCTGGGAGATTGGCGGCTACAACGTCGCAAGCGCCGACCAGAGCTCGTTCGACGCCATTGAGAAGAGGAACCGAACCTTTTCTTGCATCCGTGACTTTCTCACAACCACATCATCGAGCCAGGTCGCCCAGGGTGTAACTGAGACCCAACACATTGACAATTGGAGCGTCCCGCTCCTGCCTAAGGATGGCCGATATCCTCTGGCGCAGGCAGTCCCTCCGACCTGGGACCCACACCCGATAGTAATGATGAACCAGCAACAGTCTGCTGCCGATGACGAGAGGAGGAAAGCGCAAGCTGGGCCAGCACCTTCTCCACCTCCGCCTGAGCCGAAGGCACGCCCAACCCCCACCGGGGGCGGCGCTTCCTCATCAACTGGAGCAACGGGGAGCTCTGCGAAGCCACGTCCGAAGGCGCGACCAAAACCACCTGATCATCCTCCTGATTGGGTGATCCCAGAGCCGCCTATCGGATACAAGTTGTTCTCATCATCATGCCCCGATCACAGAGAAACTATGTTTTCCTCGTCGGCATGGATGAATGACAACGATGCATTTCTGCTTTCGATCGTCCAAGGACCTGCAGCTGCTGGGAGTCACATTTCTGGTTGGGCACAATATTTGCGAAGGATTACAGCATATGCGTTGCATGGTGTTCGGTGTGTGCAACAATAATGTTGTAACAGATGCAGACTCCGCCAAAATCTCTGAGAAAGATTGGTTGAGGTGCTACAGTCATTTAGTGAGAACGTATGGGTTAACCCGTACGGGATGCTACTTGTCGACCGCTGGATTGCTCATGATGCTCGGCAAGAATGACACGGAAGTAGCACATTTGTCAGGCTTGGGGGAAACTGTCAAGAAGATCTACAATCCATTGGCTTGCGAGATCGTCGAGAACCCCAGAACACAGAAGAACTCCGATGTGTTATCGGGCAAGTTTAGGCAGGGATCGACCTTTTTGATCACTGACCTGGCTCATCATATCAGCACATCAACTGGCAGGCACGACTTGGGCATGGGACTGCACGACATGGGATGGAACATCGAGTTGTTCAAAATCCATGAATCTGAAGCCGCACAGCCCATCGACAAGCTTCGTGAAACTGTCAGCAACGTCATTGAACATTTGAGCCATGGTCTGAGCGATCTTGGGCAGGCCACTGTCCATGTTTGGTTATCACTTCAGTTCCTGCATGATGCCAAGCCGCCACACAACGTCGTGGTGTCGCCAACATTTCAAAAGGAGTTCATCCAATGCCTGACCGAACTTGACCAAGCTTCATCAAGACCCGTGATCGTCGCCATCAACACCGACTCCCTGTTCAACGGCATGGACTCCATCACATCCAGGCTGGCTGTTGAATTGACTGAGAGTCTGAAGAGGGAGGGAGTGATGGTAACCACCGATCAGAGAATGTGGAGATCGATGCACTCACAATTTGGCAGTCAATTCAAAGAACTGAGGGCGACCCGAAAAGGTACTCTTGGTAAATATGCAATATGGTCTGTAATTGAGAAGAACCTTTTCAGACAGCGCGTTTTCCTTATGTGCGCCTCGAACCGGGATCATGTGTCAACCCTCAACGAGGGCGCATATCGACCCAAACATTCTGGCGTGAATGCGGAGATGCTCGCTGATGTCACCGGCGCCACTCAGGTTTTCAGGATTGCAAGCGGTGACATGACCCCGGAAGACTATGCCAAAGGTGATGCGCCGATCTACCAGAAGGGCACCTCCACTGCAGGCTCAACAACAACAAGATTCAACAAGGACAAACGGCACAAAGCTCAGTGGGTCGAGCCAGTGGCAAGATCTCATGAGCTTGAACCTGAGGAATCATTCAACTGTTACTGGTTCCCAGTGTTTCCTGACAGTGTCGATTTCCTTTGTGAGCGTTGCAGAGCCGCCAAGACCATGGATGAAATTGAAATTGCTCAGCACAAGCCTGCCTCGTGCATCAATTGCTCAGCGAACACCCAGGACCACTACCGAAAATCGGCTCCTACCCTGGGCGCACGAAAGTCAGTGCTATTGCTTGCGGCACGCCTGAAAGTCGCATTTAGAAATTGCGGCTTGGACAAACTCGACATCAGCAAGGACTTTCAAAAGTGGCTGGTATTTGCGGCAGCGTCCGTGATGAGCAACAAGTGCCTGAAATACGGTGAAGAGCTGATGAAATCACTGTCCCACATGGGAGGTGTTCGCATTCCCTACAATCAGGCCAAAGAAATCTTCAAGAATGGCCGCGGCAAGCAATTCAGCATCTACCGAGAAAGGATCTATGATGCAGGTCCTGGAAAGTGGATTTTAGCCTTCAGGGTCACCAAAGATTGCGGCAACGTCGCATACAAAGATTTCTTTGAACAGGTTGCAGTCCCAGGGCTGAAGGAAAGAAATGAGATCTTTGCCTTTACCAGAGCAACCGCTGAGAAAGTGGGCGACATCATAGAATTCTGGCTTGGAGTTCTTGACATCGCCAGCATGGCCAAGGGCGTCATTGATGTGTTCGATGAGCACATTGACCCGACCGAATATCTCAACGGTTTGGAAAAGGCATTGACTGCATTTGGATCCATGGCAAGGACCACCTTCACCACGAACGACAAGAGACGCGGATCCTTCGATTGCACTCTCCAGACATCAGAGGCAGGGGAAGTAATGACGATCATCAACACCATCCCCGAGTATGAAAGCCTCACCAACTTCGACTGCATGACAGCATGGGAGAAACAACAGGTGATTGAAAAGTTCCGCAAGAAGTACAACATCACAGATGACGTCGACATGGACGACGAGGCTGATGCAGGTGACGAGGCCAACGATGAGTTGGGTCAAGGGCTATCAGCCCCGCCTGACGAACCAGAAGCTGAGGAGCCTACTGATGCCGACGCAGAAGCCGCCCGTGCTTCGGAGAGATCCGGAAAGCAATACCTTCTCGATGCTCTTGGGGACTTCTTCACTGCGTCAGAAGACGTCAACGTATGCATCTATTGCGAAAGCACGAAGCATACACATGATGAATGCGAAGATCCCAAAAGGGCTGATATCAAGAAGGCCCTTGATGCAGTCAGAGCAGCACTTGAAGGGGAAAGTTCAGGCTCCGACGCCGACATGGAACAAGAAGGTGAGAAGATGAAAGAAGAACCGGACAAGGCTGATGAGTCCAAAGGGCCAGCAGAACCAGACACGGCCCGAACAGGAGAATACCACTGGTATGATGACAGCCGTCCGATGTCTGAAGTCGGAGATCTGGATGAACAAGGGAGATTCTGCATCGATGGCCGTGACATCGTCTCTGAAGGACCAATGACGAGCAATGACCTCAACGAGGTGATTCGAGACGCCGTCATGCGTGGAGGTGGTGACATCTGGAAAGTTCCAGAATTCCTTGCAGCCTACACCGACAAGAACACCCGCAAACCACTCTACAAGAGAGTCGAGGCACCGATGGACGGCTTCTTGAAGATCCTTCCCAACACAGGCTGTCATTTTTTCAACTACAAATTTTACAGCGGTGTTGAATATGGAGTCGATTACCGATTCGGGCAGCGCAACAAGCTCTCAGACTACGAGGATCAAGTGAGCTCGGACCTGAATCGCATCCTTCGGCATCAAATCGGAAAAGCTTCCGAACCTCAAAGTTTGCCATGTGATGATGCAGGATGGGTCCCGATCAATGATGTGCTTCAGAATGAAGCCATTTGGAGGCACGAAAGATTGAGGTGGCCTCATGCATACCTGATTCCCCGTGGGAAAGAATTCAGGACAATTGGGACGAGCAAGAAGCAACGTTCAGGTTGCAGACGCTCTTCAAGATCATGTTCTACTGTGCCAGGTACGGCCGACGTGTCCGTGAACAGGTGCTCGCATTTGGTATCTTTCCCGACATTGATCGGAACAGTCCAACCTGTCGGTGTAACGGTGTATCGACCGCCACTGACATCCCTGCGGAAGGACTGATTCTGTATCCTGTCGCGGTGAGAGCCCCTACTGGGCATGGCGACGTTCGTGGAAACAATGACGTCGAGCTGAAGTCCACACTACTTTCACATCCATTGGCACCAAGCACAGTAGTGGCGATGCCGGTCTGCTTCCACATCACCTCCAGCCGAAACCTTCGAGGAATCTGGAAGGAGGGTTTAATTCCAGGAGGGTTGAACACCAGCTGGAGGATCTTCACATTTTTCAACCCGTATGCACCGTGGGATCCGAGATCGTGGAAAGTCACAAAAAGCGTTGATACGCGAAAGGGAGGATACGCTTGTCTCTACATTCCCACGGAGGTCCTGATGAACGAGTTCAACGGACGTTTAACTGATTCAGGACAGGTGGTGACAGACCAGATCATCCCATTTTCCAAGATCAAAGGCGGGTGGATTCAGAATTCCAGGACAGCATGGGATCGATTGATTGTGAAGACAGGAGACGAACAGGTCGTCCGCAGTGGACGAATACAGTCTTCTATCGTTGCGACCAAGGAGTCCCTGCTGCGATTGGCCAAGCAATGCTTGAGCGTGGAAGAGCAGCCCTTCGACGAGCTCACCATGGATGCCATGAGCCTCGTCGACAAGTTCGAAAACCACTTGATCCCTGAAGGTGGAAAAGAACAATACGAAGGGCGCATCAGGCTCGTGGATTACATACTCGAAAAGAAACCGGTCACAGAATCAGGGTGCCGGTATTGTCCTCACTGTCTCAAGGAGACGCCAACTGTCTTTGCCATCTGTTTGGCATGCTGGACAGCCCTCGAGAGTCATGGCTTAAAGCCATACAGAATCATCGAGGAAGAGGACGAGGAGGTAACCACGAAGCAGCAGCTTGATGAAGAAATCCGCCGAAACAAAGAAACCATCTTCAAGGATGTTGTCCACGAGGCACAAGAAGGTGCTTCTCAAGACAACGATTATGGATTTGACCCGAGCGAGGTCGATTATGATGAGGAAGGCGACGAAGAGATGGACGAAGCAGAAGATGACGAAGAAGTCGTCGCCGATGATGAAGAGGAGGAAGAAGTTGGAGAGGCCGAGGCTGCCCCAGGAGTGGCCAAGATGCCCAAGTGGGCATTGAACCTCGACGTTGGTAGCATCCGGCTGCCCACTATGGGGATGATCAACACTGACTCATCCGAGGGCGCGGCACAGCTCTTCGACAACGCTGTCTTGGCAAAGATCATGGGCATGTACAGGCACTACTACAGACAAAGGGTCCAAATGACACCTGAAGACTACCGTGCCGAAATGACAACCGGCCGTGTAGGAAGATTGGACCTCGATGGCATATGCCCATACACTGGCGAAGATGATGACGGAGCGCTTCGACGCCCCACCGAGGAGGAACTCGACGTCATGTTTCGTGCCAAGGCCAAACAAGAAGAGTGGATGCAAGGAGAGATGATGCATGGGGGGCGCCCAAGGAATATGTTAATGACTGTGGTCAAAACATTGGAGATTTATGAAAAGCTCATGGAGCGACTGGTGCTCGCTGGGTTCAAACCTGAGGATCTCCAATTCCTTATTCCAATGAACAAAATGAAGGGCACCACTGAAGAAAAGAGTGAGATGAGAGCCAAAATGAGCAGCTTCCTATGCAGACTATTGAAGAGTGCCTTCCCGAACTCCACGCAATACACCTACTTTCGAACTGGTGACCATGGGTTCGAGGATTGCCTTGAAATTCCTGCATTTGCGGTCTACCTGTCCTACAGGGAACAAGAACGCCAATTGGAGCTGCTGGTGACAGCATCTCAATGCAACGTGAACCTCCCGCAAGCGTTCATCGGAAGGATTGCACATGCAATCAAACGTGCCGAACAAGAAGCTGCCAAAGGACATGTACGATGGATGGACCACATTGCACCAAACGTCGATCCAAAAGTCGTGCAAAATGTCTACAAGGCAATTGGGAGCACTGAGGGCGCAAAGAGAGCTATGGACGACGTCGCAAAGGCTGAGGCTCGTGCGTCTGAAGCCGAGGCCAAATCAAGAGGTGGTCCAAAGGCCTATGGTCCTAGATCACCTCCACCAAAGGTCGCACCCACAGCTGCCCCAAGCTATTCGAGCTCATCATCATCTGCTGCAGCCGGCCCCGCGAAAGCCAAAATTGCACCAAAGCAGATGCCAACGTCGGCAAAATCATCTCGGCCTTCTCCCACAGACAAACCACAACCAGCACCTCAATACAAGAAGAAACGCACTGACTGATCCAAACCGGTAACGCTCAGCGAGCGCCCGGTACTGGTGAGGTCTGGGCACTATGTGGTGATCTCCGTCTTCATTGATGAGCATCACAAAGATTGACTTGTGAGAGGATTCTGAGCGAGGCCTTGTACAGGAGTAGCTTAGCTGCTTTTCTTTTCACCAAGTTCAATTCGATGTAGCCTATTTCAATTCGAAGTTTCCAATCTTTTCTTTTGTACAAATGCCGATAGCTAGCTGCGAAGCCAGAAATGTTGCGGGGATTCCGATCCGGTAACGCTCAGCGAGCGCCCGGTGAGGATGAACCACACATGTAGCCAATTCGAGCATATGTACATCAGCGGAAATTAACAAGTTCCCATCCTTCGTGTTCGGCAAATCCCCATAATGCCGAACATGGGGGGTGCAAATGGGGACTAGATGGGAATACAGTATACATACCTCCCATTGTATTTCAAGGGATTGACCGCCAAACGCAATGTTTGGCTGAAGTGCCCATATCAAGGAAAATCAATTGCGCTTCCGCTGCATGCCGTTGAAACGTTGGCAAACACAAACGCAAGGTATTCTGAAACGAGTTGAATCACATCCGGAACAGGGATCATTCTGTTCACAATATATATATATATATTATATGTATGATAACAATAATCATAATATGTGCACCAACCAGCCATGTTTTTTTTACCGAGTATCTACGATTGGCCATGATTTTCAATCACTTTCAAGGAGGAATAATGAATATTTGATATCCTGCTACAAAGATTAAACATGATTAAACAAAAACAATTTGGAGGGTATCTACTGTATGGATAGCCATGCTGCCATTGTTGAAGACTGGAGGGGGAAATGAGGATGGATCAAAACCTATACCTATGGAGGGATGAGCATCCATTTACCACCTATTTTGGTGTTCACCAGGGGAGTTTTGACCCGTAACCACATAACTTTCCCAAAAACGCTACGTAGAACTGGTAGTTACGGTAGTTGGTCAGTTTGGAAGTCCTCCGCAGTGATGAAACCTTGAAGACTTTGGTTTTTTTGGTTCATCAGTTTCTCCACGGGGACAGAAACGGACACAACTGCTACTGAAATGAAGCCATGCAACTGTCAATCCGAAGAGTCTGAAGATGTTGTTGTTGAAATCCACCAGAGTTTGAACAGAATCAAATGATGGGGATGGATCAAAATCGATTCATTATGAAATATGAAAAAAATACCATCCCCATGATATGAGGATGAATCCCTTGTAAATCCATGATGAATCCCCCATCACCAGCGAGAAATTGGACCGCAGGATCCTTGGTGGTGGCGGATTTCTGCTGGAAGAACGTGGCGGGGGCCACGGGGAAGGGCAAATGGCTGGTGCTCCTTGGCGCAGGGACCTGGACATCTGGACCATGCTTTGGGGTGTTGGGAACGATGGTTCTCAACATTGCTTGTGGTGATTATACTTGTGTGATTATTTTTCAAGTCAATCTTTTACAAACATGTTCAAAACAGAGAACAGGCAAACTTCTAAATCCCGATCAATCCATCTATATAAAATTATATAAATCCGTCCAAATCCACTCAAGTTTGCCTGTTAACATGGCCATGAATTGGGGGTATCCCCGGCTATACGGTTTGGTCCAAGCTTGCAACAGCATCGAAGTTAAGAAACAAATTCTCAGTGCCATGCGTCACTGCATGGTATGCCCTCTGGTAATTTCACATATGGAAAATCACCATGATTTTCATGGGTAATAATACTAGGTAAATCATCTATAAATGCACCATGTTCCAGTCTGCAAACTGTTGAATTACCGGCTGCATCCTTTACGTCCTCAGTTCTACCACTGTTTGTGCTTGTGATGCCAAATAAACCTCCACATCCCTCCACTTCAAAATATGTGTTGAATGATTATATCATCAGTGGGGTAAAGATCCCTCAATATTGCTAGTGGTTGTTTACCATACCTTCACTTGCAACTCCATTTCAACAATTAGCCAGTGGAATAAATTCGTCAATATATTGCCAGTGGTTGTACTATACAACAATCTTCAAGAAAACAGAAAAAGTAAAATTATATGTAAATAGTGACATGATGCATGGCTTTAGTTGCTTCAGATGTATCTTCATGTTTTCTTGATATTGAACATCCTGATTCTAAAGTTCCCTATACAGAAGATGAATACCATATTAATGTGGGTAAAACAAGTTCATAAACCATCCCCCAGTCAGCACCATTTTTTATAGGTGCTATAAACTTACCATTCCCAGTCATGGGTGGTAAAAATGGCATTGTTTTACCCACATGAATTGGTGAAAATCTATCATGATGGGATAATCATGGGATATTCTATTCTTAATTGGGATTATACTATATAGTCTTACCCTCTGGTAAATTAACATGACGACCCTTGCATTTTTGGGGGTTGGAATATTAGTTTCCACTAAGAATTGGTGATGTTCAGGGTCAAACTGTTAATTTACCAGAGGGTAAATATTATTACCCTCTGGTAAACTAAACTAGCTATTGAAAATGGTGATTTATAGTGGATTTACGCATCAAAAATGGTGTGGAGATGGTAAATATTATTACCCTCTGGTGAACTAACATAGCTATTGAAAATGGTGATTTATAGTGGATTTACGCATTAAAAATGGTGATTTTCCATAGCTATGTTAGTTTACCAGAGGGTAACCAGTATTAACCATGGTTTTTGTATCCTTTCTGCAGCCACCGGTGGATTTTCGACTGACCCAAGGAGTGTGGATGGTGCCTTCATTGCTGGCCAGTGGCGCCAGGCACCATCTGGTGAAGATGGGTAGCATTTGAGGAAAAAACATGGGTTCTTCGGGGTTGATATGTTGATATTGATATGTTTATACTAGTTTATACATAGATTAGTATAGATATGTATAGATATATATATATATATATCTAGCCTGATCCAAGTTAATCCTTAATGATTACCCGGTTTACGGATTAGCGGTTTACGGATTAGCCCGCGGTGGCGGAAGTTTCCCTTACAGAACCAAAAACTGCCAGCCCCAAACAAAGGGAGCGGAGGAAGGAAGCGCAAAGAGCAAAGCACATTGGTAACACAAAGCTCTGGCCAAGCACCGCTGGAAACGCAACACTTTGGTCGCACCACCGCCTTGCAGAACGGACCCGGCAAGATTCGAGCCGCTGACCTTTGCCGCATCTGACTAGACTGCCCGAATACGATGTCTGATACCGACGTATTAACCACTAGACTACGGGGGCCGGTGCTTCTAGTACAGCGCCGGGCTCGGAATTGCTAATCGTGGCCCCCCGGGGGCGGAGAAGAAAGATGTAAGCACTGTGGCGCTGACGGGGCGCTGACGGTGCTGGTTGGCTGCTCCTGCTGCGGCTTTTGCTCCTGCTGGGCTGCTGCTGGGTGCTCTGCTGGCTGCTTGGTTCTGGTTCCTGGGTTCTGGTTCCTGGGCTGCTGGTTGCTTTGGTGGCTGGCCTGCTGCTCGCTCTGCTGGGTTCCGGGGACAAGGAAAGGGACAGGGAAAGGGAGGCAGCCGTCCTATCTATGCTTTAAACCGGATTACGGATTAGGTCTCGGATTACGGATTCGACTCTTTGGGGCTTCTGAGACGGATTCCGGGATTACGGATTAAGGTAAGGCCCGCGAGCATTTGGTACAGCTTAGTATATATATATATATCCCAAGTACTATAGATTAATATATGTTAATATCCTTATAGTAATACCTTATATAGAGATATATAGCTATATCCATTATACATAGTACTATGGTTAAATACCCTAATGGATATATCCATGGTTGCTAGTACTATACTGGTTGGTGGTTCGGAACATGAATGGATGATTTTTCCATATCTTGGGAAGAATAATTAATTCCAACTGACGAACTCATATTTTTCAGAGGGGTGGCGAAAAACCACCAACCAGTATATGTTGATATGTTTCTTCTGGTGGGTAATCTGCCATAAATGGGAATCTAGTGGTAATATATTTGTTTTTCATGTGGTTTCACGTGATTTTGGGGTCTTCTTAAGCACATGCAAGATTTCAAACAATGGTGGGTGCGCAAGCCAACCAAGTACATGTTTTCAATGATGGTATCACCGACATGCGGGTGTGTTCTTTTTGGGAAAGAAAGGTGACTGTCATTTCCTCCAGTGGTTTATCATGTATCTTGGTAAATTAAAACGACCTCACTGCGACTTCTCTGGGAGTGGAGTGACTATCCCCAAATGACCTTATTTCAGGTTAGTGTATCATTTATTTTTCACGTGACATTTGCCATCGATTGAGGGGTTTAACCACCAAAGGAAACACCTAAAATTACTATAATAATTTCCCACCGAACATGACCAAGTCCGTGGAAGACTATAAACCCTGAGCCACTGGTTCATCAATTCGGGTGTCCCCAAAAACAAGTTGAGACTATTTTAAAATGGTTACCCCTATTTTTTTTTACAGAAAGGAGTGTTGGTTGTTCTTTTTAATAGTATTCTGGTTGGTGGTTTGGAACACTTTGTATTTTTCCATATATATATAATATATATATATATATTATATTGAGAATTTCATCATCCCGACTGACTAACTCATATTTTTCAGAGGGGTTTTGCTCAAAACCACCAACCAGTATTAACAGCGGTTCACCGGTTCACCTTTCTGCCCATCTCCACGACGACAGGACGGTGTGGCTGAGGGACCATGGAGTTGGTACGGAAGGAGGAAACCATCTTTGAGCCCCTTGGCGCTGGCTGCCCAGCCCATGAGTTTTCGTGGATTTTTTTACAGCATTTTTCATCATCATATGGTAAGGTCATGATGTGTCAAAAAAAAAGGTCTAGAGTCTATATATTTCATGAAAATTCATGATTCATCTCCATAATTGTTGATTAAATCACCATTTTTTGGTAAGGGTTACTTTACTATATTCATATTTAATGGGAAAATCTATGGTTTCCTGTAAATTTTCCCTTAAACCAATCCAATCATATATAAATCGTAAATGGGTATACAAGTAGGACAGACCCAATTTTTGGCTCTCACCAGCTGAGGCAATCCCTTGCCACCGGAAGCTGCTCTTTCTCAGAGTTCCCGTGAAGAGGAGGAGAACATCCAGTTCTAGCGAGGGCAGCTGTGTTTTTTGGTTCAACTACCCCATTTTTATGGAGGATTAAAATTTTGGTTTAATATTTTTGCATAATATGATCTTATATTTTTTTAATGGTTCAACTTAATATGGTTCAATTCATATGGTTCAATATACGCATATATATATATGGTTTTATCTGGTTTGATACAATTCAAGAAAAAATCTTGTGGGTCTCTGGTGCCCAAGTTTTGATGCATAGCCAGTTCAAACAGGACAAGTTCTTGCTTGGTTCCCTAATATATCCTAATATTAATTACTGGTGCGTTTTTGATGCAAGGGATGCAAATCAACTTCTCGACCTGAGAGGAGGAACAGCAACTTAATTTGGATATCAAGCCTCAAGACTGGTTGGAGGTTTTGTGTATATGTATATTATATACACATAGTTTGTTTATTACCTGGTATGATGATCCCCAATGATAAGCATATTTGTTGAGGGCGTGGCACAATAAGCAACAGAAGACTTTTCCACGGCAATGCGATCAGGACTTTCGTGGACCGGCAGACCTTGCTTCCTCCATCATCACTGCTGCACCCCGGATCTGGGTAGATGTGAAGCTGGTTTCAGTGAGTGGTTATTTTTGTACAAAGTGGGGCCCCCGAAATATGCTTGTTGAATTGTGAAACCAGAGAACTATAGTTATAATTACCATGTTATACCCACCTCAGTTCTTAGTTGACCAAGTTACTGCACTAACTTAGCTAACTATGGGGCCCCACCTTGTATCCAATTACTATTCCATTCCTATCGCCATGCCCATCCCATTCATGGTTGGTGTATCTTTATTAAACCCATTGTTTTTGCGGTTAATTTTATATCCCCATCTTGTTTATATCCCATCATACATCCAATTAAACCATCCCATTGCGACTTATTATATATGTATATATACATATTATACTACTATAGTATATATATATAGATAGATAGATAGATCAAACGTTACATAGTGCATCACATTACTATTTGACAAAAAGTGTAATTTATTTAGTAAACCCGCATATAACCCCATAGTATATATATATATGCTTATATATATATACATATGTATATATGTATGTATACATTTACATTTACATATATATATATATATGTGTGTGTTTACATATATATATATATGTATATATATATATATGTACATATATATATAATCTATGTTAGATGTGCGATTTCCCGGAAACGTCACCACGGCCAGGCACGCAGTGTGGTGGCCACGGCCGGAGATTTGCAGAGCCGAGAACTGCTGGCGCGACAGTGGGACGAAGCGGCACCGTGTCCTGGTGACGACCAGTGACCAATGGGTGAAAAATGGTGGTTAAATGGTGGTTAAATGGTGATAACCATAAAGGATTGGTGGTGCAATAACCATCTTGAAAAATATGAGTTCGTCAATGGGAAGGATTATAATGAGTATCCCATATACTATGGAAAATAATCCAAATGTTCCAAACCACCAACCAGTCCATAAAGGAATGGATTAATGGTGGATTAATGGTGATTAAATGGGTGAACAAATGTGCTTAAACAGTGTCATAAACCAGCCATTTGTTACATAGTTACATACTAATGGAGATTAATGGAGATTCATGGGGATTAATGGTGATTGATGGATTGATCGAGATTAATGGAGATTAGTGGTGACTGATGGGGATTAATGGTGATGAATGTTGGTAAAACAATGTCATAAACCACCCATCAGGGAATGGTAACCATACCACCTATTTATTGTGATTTGGGGATGGTTTATTATTGTTTTTAATTTAATGGTAACTGAAACGAACAGTTTGCGAACTGGACCATCAATGAACATCACAATATTTATAGACATGATTTAGCATGATTTAGCTCTTCAAATGGGTGATTTTGCAACGTGTTCGTCTACTGGAGGGTAATGGTACGTTCATGGGGTTGAATGGTGATGTAAAAAATGGGATTTGATGTGGATTCAATAGGTCAACTACCTTTTTTCATGGGTTGAGCCGCACTTACAGGAACCAGATCTGACCAGTGTCAACCAGTTGTTTCACGCCAGGCGCAGTCTAACTAAGACTTCATTGCCGAAAGAAACCCAATATTTGCATGGTTTTGCCTCTGCAACATGTGGAAAACCAGCTATCTATAGATCCTTTTACTGCAGTTTCCCCATCGGTTGTCCAATTGTCTATGTCAATTTAGTGTTGTTGGTTAAATGACCCTTGTATCACCATATTTGCAGGTTCCATTCCTAGTTTGATTGTTTTAAATCCCTGAAATCATCATGATGATATGTGTGTCTAATCTTAAATCAAGATCTTGTATATATCTTGTGACGTCTTCATGCAAAAATCTATTGCTTTGAGGTAAACTCCACATTTTCTAAGCTCAATGATTGGTTTCCAGGTTTCCATGGCCCATGGCTTTATGGACCCCCGTTTGCCCATCGGGCTCACCCGCACCAAGGCAACAGCCCTCGGGCACCGGGGGTGACTTAGCGCCCTCTGCGGTGCTAAGGAGAAGTTGGCTCAGCGCAGGCCGCGTGGTTTTGGTTGGCTGAAAAAATGGTGAGTGGAGTGGCAAAATATGGTGAGTTGTGGTGATTTATGGATATTTATGGTGATATATGGTGATTTGGGATTTTATCGAACTCCAAATTTTACCATTTTATCTGTTTAAATCCTTTCTATCTAGTCTATATAATATATATATATATATTATAAGTGGTTGATTACATCATGTCACTTCAGCAAATGTCAGATGATTATAACAATCAGAAGTAGCCCCCTTGGAAATTTCTTTTGGAAATCACTGGGGGGGTCACGAAACAGGCACTTTTCTTTTGTTTCCAATTGTTGTTTTCCCCTGTTTTTCTGTTTTTTTCCTTTTAGTGTATTTTTCCCGAGAGCGCCTGCGAAGGGTTCTTCGTAAAAAAGCAGCCGTTATACTAGATCTTCACACCTTCACACCTGCAGATCTAGATCTTCACACTCTCACATCTGCCGATCTACATCTTCACACCTTCACATCTGCTGATCTAGATCTTCACACCCTCACATCTGCAGATCTAGATATTCACACCTTCACACCTGCAGATCTAGATCTTCACACTCTCACATCTGCCGATCTACATTTTCACACCTTCACATCTGCTGATCTACATCTTCACACCTTCACACCTGCAGATCTAGATCTTCACATCCTCACATCTGCAGATTTAGATCTTCACACCCTCACATCTGCAGATCTACATCTTCACACCTTCACACCTGCAGATCTAGATCTTCACACCCTCACACCTGCAGATCTAGATCTTCACACCCTCACATCTGCAGATGTAGATCTTCACACCCTCACATCTGCAGATCTAGATCTTCACACCCTCACATCTGCCGATCTACATCTTCACACCTTCACACCTGCAGATCTAGATCTTCACACCCTCACATCTGCAGATCTAGATCTTCACACCCTCACATCTGCAGATCTAGATCTTCACACCCTCACATCTGCAGATCTAGATCTTCACACCTTCACATCTGCAGATCTCTTCTCGCTCTTCTTCTATTCTCTCTTAAGGCGGGGGCGGTGCCGCCGGAGCGCCACGAACCGCAACCCTTTCGCACGAAATGGACGTTGGACGTCCAAAACCTAGGTAAAATTGCGATTTTGAAGCGTCGCCGGCAACCCTTTCGCACGAAATGGACGTTGGACGCCAAAAACTGAGGAAAAATTGCAACTTTTATTGGTCGCGCGCAACCCTTTCGCACGAAATGGACGTTGGACATCAAAAACTCAGGAAAAATTGCAACTTTTATTGGTCCCGCGCAACCCTTACGCACGAAATGGACGTTGGACGTCAAAAACTGAGGAAAAATTGCAACTTTTATTGGTCGCGCGCAACCCTTTCGCACGAAATGGACGTTGGACGTCAAAAACTGCGGAAAAATTGCAACTTTTATTGGTCGCGCGCAACCCTTTCGCACGAAATGGACGTTGGACGTTAAAAACTGAGGAAAAATTGCGACTTTGAAGTGTCCCGCGCAACCCTTACGCACGAAATGGACGTTGGACGTCAAAAACTGAGGAAAAATTGCGACTGTGAGTTGTCAATCGCAACCCTTACGCGCGAAATGGACGTTGGACGTCAAAAACTGAGGAAAAATTGCGATTTTACTTGGTCAATCGTAACGCTTTCGTCTGTGTAAAAGTGTCTGTGTGTAAAAGCGTCTGTGTGTAAAAGTGTCTGTGTGTAAAAGTGCCGTGTGTAAAAGCGGTTGTGTGTAAAAGCGTCTGTGTGTAAAAGGGTCTGTGTAAAAGCGTCTGTGTGTAAAAGCGTCTGTGTGTAAAATCGTCTGTGTGTAAAAGCGTCTGTGTGTAAAAGCGTCTGTGTGTAAAAGCGTCTGTGTGTAAAAGCGTCTGTGTGTAAAAGCGTCTGTGTGTAAAAGCGTCTGTGTGTAAAAGCGTCTGTGTGTAAAAGGGTCTGTGTGTAAAAAGCGTCTGTGTGTAAAAGCCCCTGTGTGTAAATGTGTTTGTGTGTCAAAGCGTCTGTGTGTAAAAAGTGTCTGTGTGTAAAAAGCGTCTGTGTGTAAAAGTGTCTGTGTGTAAAGGCGTCTGTGTGTAAAAGGGTCTGTGTGTAAAAGCGTCTGTGTGTAAAAGCGTCTGTGTGTCAAAGCGTTTGTGTGTAAAAAGCGTCTGTGTGTAAAAAGCCTCTGTTGTGTTGCAAAATGGGTTTGGGGGTGTGTAAAAGTGTCTGTGTTGTATAAAACGTCTGTGTTGTAAAAGCGTCTGTGTGTAAAAGGGTCTGTGTGTAAAAGCCTTCTGTGTGTGAAAGTGTTGTGGTAAAAGTGTCTGTGTGAAAAGTGTCGGTGTTGTAAAAGAGTCTGTGGTAAAAGCTTCTGTGTGTTAAAAGCGTCTGTTGTTTAAAGGAGTCTGTGTGTAATAAAAGCTTCGGTGTAAAAGCGTATGGTTGTAAAAGCGTTCTGTGTGGTAAAGTGTCTGTGTGTAAAAGCCTCTGTGTGTAAAAGCCTCTGTGTGTAAAAGTGTCTGTGTGTAAAAGTGTCTGTGTGTAAAAGCGTCTGTGTGTAAAAGTGTCTGTGTGTAAAAGTGTCGTGTGTAAAAGCGGTTGTGTGTAAAAGCGTCTGTGTGTAAAAGGGTCTGTGTGTAAAAGCGTCTGTGTGTAAAAGCGTCTGTGTGTAAAAGCGTCTGTGTGTAAAAGCGTCTGTGTGTAAAAGCGCCTGTGTGTAAAAGTCTCTGTGTGTAAAAGCATCTGTGTGTAAAAGCGTCTGTGTGTAAAAGAGTCTGTATGTAAAAGGGTCTGTGTGTAAAGCGTCTGTGTGTAAAAGGGTCTGTGTGTAAAGCGTCTGTGTGTAAAAGTGTTTGTGTGTAAAAGCTTCTGCGTGTAAAAGCTTCTGAGTGTAAAAGCCTCTGTGTGTAAAAGCGTCTGTGTGTAAAAGCGTCTGTGTGTAAAAGCGTCTGTGTGTAAAGGAGTCTGTGTGTAAAAGCTTCTGTGTGTAAAAGCTTCTGTGTGTAAAAGCGTTTGTGTGTAAAAGCCTCGGTGTGTAAAAGCGCCTGTGTGTAAAAGCTTCTGTGTGTAAAAGCGTCTGTGTGTAAAAGCGTCTGTGTGTAAAAGTGCAAAAGCGTTTGTGTGTAAAAGCCTCTGTGTGAAAGTGTTGTGTGTAAAAAGTTCTGTGTGTAAAAGCTTCTGTGTGTAAAAGCTTCTGTGTGTAAAAGCGCCTGTGTGTAAAAGCTTCTGTGTGTAAAAGCCTCTGTGTGAAAGTGTTGTGTGTAAAAAGTTCTGTGTGTAAAAGCTTCTGTGTGTAAAAGCTTCTGTGTGTAAAAGCGCCTGTGTGTAAAAGCTTCTGTGTGTAAAAGCCTCTGTGTGTAAAGGAGTCTGTGTGTAAAAGCGTCTGTGTGTAAAAGCGTCTGTGTGTAAAAGCGTCTGTGTGTAAAAGCGTCTGTGTGTAAAAGCGTCTGTGTGTAAAAGCCTCTCTGTGTGTAAAAGCTTCTGTGTGTAAAAGCGTCTGTGTGTAAAAGGGTCTGTGTGTAAAAGGGTCTGTGTGTAAAAGCGTTTGTGTGTAAAAGTGTCTGTGTGTAAAAGCTTCTGTGTGTAAAAGCACCTGCGTGTAAAAGCGCCTGTGTAAAAGCCTCTGTGTGTGAAAATGTTGTGTGTAAAAGCGTCTGTGTGTAAAAGCGCCTGTGTGTAAAAGCTTCTGTGTGTAAAAGTGTCTGTGTGTAAAAGCTTCTGTGTATAAAAGCCTCTGTGTGTAAAAGCTTCTGTGTGTAAAAGCCTCTGTGTGTGAAAGTGTTGTGTGTAAAAGCGTCTGTGTGTAAAAGGGTCTGTGTGTAAAAGGGTCTGTGTGTAAACGCGTCTGTGAAAGTCTTTGCGTGTAAAAGCATCTGCCTGTAAAAGCGCCTGTGTATAAAAGCGTCTGCGTGTAAAAGTGTCTGTGTGTAAAAGCGTCTGTGTGTAAAAGCCTCTGTGTGTAAACGCGTCTGTGTGTGTGTGTAAAAGCGTCTGTGTGTAAAGGAGTCTGTGTGTAAAAGCTTCTTTGTGTAAAAGCGTCTGTGTGTAAAAGCCTCTGTGTAAAAGCCTCTGTGTGTGAAAGTGTTTGTGTGTAAAAGCTTCTGTGTGTGAAAGTGTGTGTGTGTCTAAAAACATCTGCGTGTAAAAGCGTCTGTGTGTAAAAGCCTATGCGTGTAAAAGTGTCTAGTGTCTGTGTGTAAAGGCGTCTGTGTGTAAAAGCCTATGTGTAAAAAAGTGTCTAGTGTCTGCGTGTAAAACCTTCTGTGTGTAAAAGCTTCTGTGTGTAAAAGCGTCTGTGTGTAAACGCTTCTGTGTGTAAAAGCGTCTGTGTGTAAATGCGTCTGTGTGTAACAGCTTCTGTGCAAAAGCGTCCTGCGTGTGAAAAACAATACGAAGGATAGGATGCAAACTAGTGTTTTGTACTTGTAATATATTGTCTTGATACTACTTGTCTCGCCTGCCTAAAATACATCTTTAATATATTGTCTTGCAATATAGTGTCTCAATACTAACAACAGAAGACCCTGCTCTCTCTCTCTCTCCTCTCTTTCTCTCTCTCTCTCTCTCTCTCTCTCTCTCTCTCTCTCTCTCCCTTTCTCTCTATCTATGTCTCTCTGTGGTTGCAAGACACGTGTCATATGATGCCCTTTACCAAGCAGCACAGTGCATATGCATGGGTTGTCACATGTATCCTCTTCTTAATCAATCTTACTTTTCACAACTTACCCCTCCATAGCTCATATAAAATTCACCAACCTATCACCGACTATTTTTTACGACTACCATACTCAGAGCTGCTTGAAAAACGTTTTTTTCGCTCTCGGGCCAACCGTCGTCTAGTTTTGTTTTGAACATGTTGTAAGTATGATGTGATTTGCCAGTCGAAATGGCACAGGCCCTTTTGCATTGTATTTCAAATTTACAGTGTTTTGTAACTTGGCCAGCCGACATGTTTTTTGATAGTATTTTGTGTGTTTTCTACTATCAACGTTCTTACTTAGGAGGGTAGCATCAAGTTCGTGTTAGACGTTGCAGGATATAGTTTAGAGCGTAGCATCAAGTGCGTGTTTGAAGTTACAGCAGCAAGGGAAATATGTTATTTGAACGCAAGGGACAAACACATTATTGCATCCCCCCACCTCACCCCACCCTACCTCACGTTAAAGCAAGGATCTTTCGAAACAAGCAAGGGACAAGAACGGTATTAGACCCCCTGCACCCCAGCCCATCCCACCCACCTTCCCCCATCGGAGAAGTTTCTTGCCCCTTCGGGTATGAATCATATATATCATGAACACGGGATAAGCATATTACTAATATCACAGTAAACATGCTTATAAAACATCATAAAACATCCCATAGTGAGACTATCTATCCCAATTCATGTATTTATACATTCCTATATTAGCATCCATCCATACATACATATCCCATCTGGGTAAATTATAACGACCTCACTGTTCTCCCTCACTGGAATCATGGTTAATAAGGGAAATCATCCCCAAATGGCCCAACAATTCAGCTTAGTGAAATATTTCAATTTACCCAGATATATATATATATATACCCCACCAACATCGTCAAAATTGGGACTCCCAAAGAAACCAATCGCTATTTGTTCATGGCAGGTGAGGAGCTGCGCAGCTGCTTGGGTCTCAGCGTCCAAGGTGGGGAGCTACGTCGAGAGTCGCGTCGAGAGATGTCGAGTGATGTCGTTGCGTTGCGTGGGGATGAAATGTGTGTTTTTTGGCTTGCAAAACAGGGATTTACCCTCTGGTAAACATACAAAAAACTATGGAAAATCACCATAAATCACCATGTTTAATGGGTAAACTCACTATTTCTATGGCCATTGTCAATAGCTATGTAAACGTTTACCAGGCCGGGTATATGGATTTATTGGGAATCGAATCATTTGACCACCGGCAGCGAAAAAGGAGTGTAACCATCGGAGATGAGGATTGCAACAGCGTCTGAGTATTTTTTGCAATCTGATCATGTCAAGGAATGAATTTCTACCATTTATAGATCATGATTTTCCATTTATACTGCTTGGTGGTTTCAAACATTTATTTGAATTATTTTCCATGTCATATATGGGATGTCATCCTTCCCATTGACTTTCACTCCATCATTTTTCAGAGGGGTAGGGCTCAACCACCAACCAGTGTAGATCCACCATTTATAGATTGATCCGAGGAGTTGGCCGCCAGGAATCCAATGGATGACCTCGTTAGTTATAGTAACCATAGTGATTCATAAGTCTAAGAAAACAGTGGTTAGCTATAACAACAATAGTAATCAACAAAAACAACAACTAGTGATGAATTAAATTACTATTGTTGTTCTCGATTTTTTTCATGAAGCATCCGTGTCAACACATCAACGGAATATGTTTTTCTGCTGATCAAACCTGCTGTTTTCCTCACGGATCAGATGGGTCAGGTTTGGTGCCGCAGCAGATTCAACAGCTGGGCCAAGTCCTGACGTTGCTGCTGCTGCCTCCTGGGTGGCACTGGCATGGGACTGGCCGATTGGCAGCGAAAAACCATGGGTTTTTCATGGGAAAATGATCTGCACATGGTTGTTTTATGGTGTTTTTCATGCATTTTCTATGTATAACTGGTTTGCGGTTTGGAACATTTGGATGAGTTTTCCATATATTGGGAATAATAACCCCAACTGACTAATGTTTTTCAGAGGGGTTGAAACCATCAACCAGATAATGTATCTGTACTATATGATGTTGAATTTGATTGAACAGTCACGTTTTTTTTACTGAGATTTCGCCAGAAAAGAACGACAATTATTATATATGAGTTAACCGTATCGATGCAGCAGATGGTGTCGTGACTGCCTGCTGGAGTCGGGGGATAACCATGGTTTTCACATGTGAAAACACCCATTTATAGCGTTCTACTCGCCCATGTTTTTTGGTGAAAAGATGGATTTTTATATCATATAAGCCACGAACAGGACATCTTAATTTGCCGATATGCCTTGCCTGTATCCCAGTTGAAGTGAAATTCCATGAACTTTGTCGGAGGGACGACCTTCGCACGAGGTTCGTGGTGAGTTTCTTCTCAGCTCGGGCATTGAATCTCGCTTTGGGTACCCCGGTCACCTGGCCTTGACCTGGTCCGGTACATCTGGCAACCGTGGCAAGCTGGAAGATCTCGATCAATTGGGGTTTACCCTCTGGTTATGTCAAAATAGCTATTGAACATGGCCATAGAAATTGTGAATTTTCCCATGAACAATGGTAATTTTCATTGATTTTCCCATCAGTTATGTAAACGTTTACCAGGCCAGGTAAATATGTTTAAATAAGAACATCATTTAATCATCTATAAATTCGTGGGGATTTTCCAGCTTGACCACGTTAGTGCATCCCTAGTGGCCTACTGCCTTGGCAATGTGCTCATAGCGGCAGATTCGCTTCATTGCGCGAGGGTCTTTGTTATACACTGTGACACTGTGGGATCATGTGTTGGTCAAATTTGGGTGGTCTTTTGCTTGGTGAAGTTTGTGTTTCATAGACAGCTTTTTCTAAAGATAGGCTAAGCATCGAGAAACAACAAGAACATCTTCTGAATTGGGAGGGTATCGAGTTGGCCATTCTATGGGCAAACTATGTCAAACTGAGGGCATGTCAACTTCGCATTGTTGTGCATCACAGTTCAATCCCCCATGTTTTGATGGTTTGATGAGGACATTTGTTCATCACCATGGTTCAGGTTTGCTCCAACCTAGGCAAACTATCGCTACAACTTGATTGATGGGTCGGTATATCATCATTTTGGTTTGGAAATCGGAATTTGTGTGATGTCTTGCTGGTTCACCCCAATTAGGAAGTGCATGGTTCAAAATCCCCGATATAACTGGACCCTCTGGTAAACTAACATAGCTATTGAACATGGCCATTACAAATGGTGATGTTCCATCGTTTTTTGGGTATGTTTACCAGAGGGTATAACATGGTATAACCACCATTTTCCTATGGTTTTCCTATAATTTTCCCATTAAAATCACCAGTTTCCCATGGTATAACCACCCTGCCCAGTTACAAACCCTGCTGACCAGGCTGATGCTGTGACCTGGTCATTCTTTGCGGCCTGCTATGCGGTGACGTTGCTGCATGGTATCATGCACGTCTTGACCATACATGGAGGGTTCCATACATACGGAATCCCCAATAGCTGGAGGGTTTTTTTTGTGGGAAATCCCACTAAAATCTATGATTTTGGGGTACATCCATAGGAAAGCTCCACACCGGAAGTACATCCCAGGGTGATCCATGAGGCAAACATGGGGCTCTCCGCTGAATTCGTCCTGACCATGGTAAAGCCAAGAATTAAAACCATCCCAAATGAACCAACCATTTGGGGGTCATAGACATCCCATTTCTATGGGATTCTATGGATATACCGGTATACCCAATGCCACAAACCGCTTAATTGAGGGTGGTGTATGGCATTAGCTTTGCCACATCGAGCCCGGCGCGGCCCAAGGTGGTTCTGGATGTGGTGCTCCCCAGCCGGAAAGGTGGGCGGGACTTCGTGAAGGGATTTACCTATTAAAAATGGTGATTTACCCAACAAAAATGATGATTTCACGGGATTTTATGGTGATTTTATGGGATTTTATGGGATTTCAATGGAACCTTCTGGCTATTTAACATAGCCATGGAAAATGGCCCATAGAAATAGAGGTTTACCTATTAATAGCATGGTGATTTTCCATGGCGAACCGTTAAATAACCAGATGGTATGCCGAAATTTTCTCCTGTGCTTCTTTGTTGGGTTGACCCAGCAAAATATATCAAAATATGGTGGTGCGGTATTCAGAGTCCCCTTCCAACCCGATGACGACTGAAGCAGTGTCCTGGAGAAGTCCTGCAAAAGTCGTGAGGGATTGCCATACCCCCAGGATCCCCCAGGGCTGACACTGGTTGATGATCACCTGTACATAGAGGATATGATACAATGATATATCAAAGCTGTGAAATCCCGAAACTGTCGTTAGTCAAATAATGTGTTTTAAGTGAAACCATTCTTTGGAGATTTCGATCATGGCTAACAACAAAAAAAAGGTGGTTTTGTTAAAATTCTTCCTGTCCACCATTCAAGCCAGGCTTCCCTGGTTTCGCAGAAGATCTCGAAACTCGACGAAAATTTCTCCAGCAACTCCAACGTTGGGAGGCACTGTGAGGGTTGGGGGCCGGCATACGGCGGACAGGCGCAGCTTCACATGACACATCAAGTGCATTTTGTATGCCTTTACTATTGGGAAAACGAAGCACCTTTTTTGGGATTTTTCTGATATTATATATATATATACTGTATACTCTCTGATTGTGGGCAATAATCCCAACTGACTTTCATATTTTTCAGAGGGGTGGCTCAACCACCAACCAGATTAATTCACCATTAACCACATATAACCACCATTAATCACATATAACCACCAACCAGATTAATTCACCATTAGTGACATTTTATAGTAGAACATGTATGTCCTCCAAATGTTTCAACGATTTACCCCAAGAAGCTTGCAACACACGTCACCAATGATTGTCCCATCTCATCCTTTCAGATCCAAAATGGCTACCCGGCTGAGTGCAAAACAGTAACGACTCGACCCCCCAAGTCATCTCAAATCAATGTTAGCTGAGTTGGTTAAACTTTGGACGTAGCTTTAGCTCTCCATTCCTTTGTTTCAGCTGACTTTGGAATTTCTATTCAACTTTTACCAGATAATTTGTGTGTATGAGTCCTGAACTTGGTGTACCCAGAAATTTAAATACCAAAATGCGACCAACATGTGTGGCCTCCTTGGTTTTAAGTTTTGCTCCATATCCCATTAATTTCATTGTCAGAAGACCCGTTTTTCAAGATCATGTCTTCATCAAAAGGGAATTGCAGTTGCCAAAATAAGGTTTTCTATTGTGGGAATTGACCAGTATAAGTACAACTATGATTATTGACATTATTGGCTAATTAACATATTACTCAATTCCTAATATATTTCGGTCTTATAATATGTCATGACTAACACTAAACTTGAAGTCGTCTCTCATTGAATCAGCCTGAAATCAGCATTCCATCCCATTAAAATCATTTCATGATATAAATATATATAAATCCCATCAACTTCCATGAAATCACCATAAAATCCCATGAAATCATCATTTTTCTTGGGTAAATCACCATTTTTAAGTCCGGTAAGTCCCAGTTTGTCTTGGTGAAATCACCTTTTTTCATCACCTTTTTGTCGGTTGCCTTCCCCATCCATGGCCCCAGCCAAACCCGCCATCAGGAGAGCGGCGGCTTGCAGCGCTATGGCTCGATTCCCCGCGATGAGTTGTTAGGGGCCGCCAGGCGAATGCTGAAGCGTAGCAATGGTGGATTAATGGTGGTTGAAACATGGTTCATAATGGTCGCAATAATGGTTAATAATGGTTAGTAATGGTTAATAATGGTTAATAATGGTTAATACTGAATAATGATGGTTATTGGTTCATAAATGAATGAGTCGGTGGCGAATGGCAATAATATTTGTTTGAATCATGGTTGTTAAAAATGGTGGTTTAAAACATGGTTAAATATGCTTTAATGCATGATTAACGAATGATCAATGATATGATTAGTGATATGAATCGTGACCCCCCAAATCATCACAAGTCATCTAAGTTAGAAAATGATATTTAAGGGCTACTCCTAACAGGGCCACTCCTAAAAGTTGCTATCGTGTCAAAAAGAATCAACAAAAAAACACAAAATTCTCAAAAAATCAAAAACAAACCTTCCAAAAAATCAATCCAACAATTCAAAGAGAAACTTGACACCTCAAAAAAACATTGTTTGAGCAAACAAAAAAACAAACAACAAATTTGAAAAGACACATATTTAAAAAATAGAACAAGAAAAACAAACACATAAAAAAGAAACACCAAAGGAAAATACCAAAAAACAAAACAAATGCAAAACAAATGCAAAACAAAACAACAAAAACAAATAATTTTTTAAAAAAAAAACAACAACAAAGTCAAACAAAAAACAATCCAGAAAACCATTTTGACAGAAATTATCAAAATGTCTGTATGTGCTTCTTAAAAATAACCTAAAAAATATGAATGAAAAATAACTATTTGGATTTTTTGGGGGGAATGAAATGGAATTATTTGGAACGAAATTGAATTATTTGGAATTGAAATGAATGAAAAGGAATGTTCTAGGAGTGTCCCTATAAGGTATGTCCCTCTCCATAGAAAAGACGGTTATTGACACAACCATCCAGAACGTGGGGATTTACACTGAGAATTTCGAAAAGCCCAGGATATCCCAGGATCCTTAATTTATGTAAGTGATGCCAGCTTGAATGTTGAACAGCCACAAAATGAACGTAAACTGAATGATTGTACTATTGTGAGTTACTGTTACAATAAACAGCCACAATCATCTCCAGTTATTGTTACAATCATTGTACTACAATGGGAGTTGATGATTGTAACATTGTAGTAGCCTCTGGTAATTTAACATAGCTATTGAAAATGGCCATAGAAATAGTGGATTTACCCATTAACAATAGTGATTTTCCATAGTTTTTTGTATGTTTACCAGAGGGTACAGTAACTGAAGCTGAACAAAAAAAACATGGTGCACCGTCAAAGCGAAGCAGAAGCAAGCCATGAAAGATGCTTGAGGTGACTGACTTTGATTTGCATATCATATCAAATATATTATATATGTAGATACATATATATATTACATACATATATGTATCATATGTATATATTATACATATGTATCATATCTATATATATATATATCATATATTCATATTACATATTACATATTAGATTTTTCATGATTTGTAGAGCTTTCCAGCACAAGATAAACTGGTATCTTGACCTACCATGGGCAGCACTGATGACCTCGGTTCCTCAAGATGTCTCGTATTGAACATCTTTGAAATCTGTGGATCATATCGCAATAACATTTATTTATTTATGTCAGATCATGTTAAACAATGTTGCAGTATTTTTTTCGCTTGTCATTTTTGTAGTCAGTATCATCAAATCACGTACTGCAACTTGTTTACTATGAATCATGCAGTCCACAAGTTAGTCTATCATCATTATTATGTTTTATTGTGTTCACATAATATATATATAATCATTCTCATCAGAATGATAACAGGTATTTCAATAATCATTATATACAATGTTCATTATCATACGGATAATCAGCATCATAATAATAATGATAACTACAATAACCCATGGTAATTACCATCATCATTTGGAGCTGTCCAATCCATGGGCGTACCCCAAAATCATGTATTTTTTGGGTTGATTTTCCAGCAAATAAACATCCAGCTATTGGGGTACCGCCATGATTTAGGAACCTCCAAATGATGAAGGTAATTCCCATGATTGTTGTTGTTATATAATCATTATTTTCAATTATCGTCACTGTTATTATCATGATGCATTGTTGGTAATTCCCATGATTGTTGTTTTTATTATATCATTGTCTCTAATTCTCATCATCATCTTTATTATCATGATATTGTTATCGCAGCTACCATTGGTACTATCAATGTTCCCCTGCTTCTGTTGTGGTTGTTGTTGTTGTTGTTGTTGTTGTCGTCCCTCGTGAGCCATACCACGAAAGGCGTGTCCTGGCACCTGCGTCGCAAATGTCGACGTTGCTTCTTAGCTGCGGACCATTGGGGCAGGGGACAAGTAAAAAGGGGGCCGGACTCTATGGAAAATCAATTTACATTCATATAAAATCGGATCTCAAGACTTGTAAACAGATCTCATTTTATATACATACTTAGAAGGGGTTCAAAACTTAGCGATGCATATATATATATTATATAATAAGTCGACATTTGGATACTAATGTCAGAAAATGTTGAGCTGTGTTCTATAATTAGTGTATATTTTAAGTATCCGTCGTTTTTGTTCATCACCTGCAATTCTCAGTTCTGGACGTCACTTCCCGGTGAACATTGAGGTTTCAAAGTTTAGCACCACGTGTTTTTTCCCCATGAACTATGAGGCTATTGGGTAAACAACAAGGGATTTATGAGATTCAGAGTTCGGCCATGGGATTTTCATGAATTTAGGTGAAAAATACTGCTAGGATCATTTATAACCATTGGGGAATTGATTGGTTCATTGAATTGTTTAAACATGTAACGCCGGCCAGGTCTTTTGAACATGGGGCCCCTGAAAGTCATCCCAAGGCGTAATAGTGAGATTGAGGAACTGTTGAAGGCACTGCTGCGGGACAGGGCTGCGACCTGATGGATTGCGGAGGGTTTGTCATGTCTACAAGTCGCAAAGCATGTGGATAAATTTTAAGGACCTGATGTCGCGACGTCATGGGAAAGATGGTTAGGATTGGGGTACTCGTAGCTATTCCAAGGTGTCCGTATTTCAGGTTAGTAACTAGTACAATTTATCCAGAGCCATCACATTTTTGGTTTGCCCAAGTTCCTTTTTATGCATACCCAGATGTACGCAAATGTTTCTGAGTTGGTTGGAGTTTGTTCACTGCTACCACTGAAGTGGTGCTTCAATGATGAAACACGGAACTCACCATTCTATTGGGTGGATGGGTACTTCATATGTTCTTTCTATAATAAGAGCACCTATAGTTTCATCACAATGATTTATATAGGGGAAAATCTTCAAAAAAAAAACATTAGTTTTTTCATGTTTTTTCCCATTAGAAAAATAGGTGTCCTGTAAATTGTTCTTTAAACCATCTTAAACCATCTTAAACCAATCTAACGATAATGTCCAACACCAAAACTCTGCCAATAAAAACGATCGTATGTCTAAGCTTGACCATGAATGGCCGGCCATTGAAGACGCCCATCAGGTATGGAACCCGGATCTTAAACGACAAGTTCTTCGGAGTTCCCGGCTCTCCAAGGGTGCGACGCTTGCCGTGGCATGAGAAGGGCTGAAGGGGGGCATCTACTGAAAATAGTGTCTCAAAGTCCCATCAGCAACCGGTAAACCTTAAATAGGCTAGCAAGGACATTTGTGGTTTAGGTTCCAAAATTCATTGGGATGAAACCCTCAAGTGTCATTAAAATCCCGTGGAAATTTTCTACCATAACCATGAAACATTGGGATTTTAGCTGGTACTGAAGGTCTAAGAGTACCCCTAGTCAGATAACCCCCTTTTCCATAGAAGTTCAACAAGGGGTAATGATGAGGCAAAACATTTAACCTGATTTCTCTGAGTTGGTTTGAGGGACAATGCTCAGGAAACCCCAAGCAAGTGAAAAATTGTTGTTTGATGTTATAAAATGTTATAACATGGTATAACCTATTTCATTCTACTTCTTACGTTCCTGGCATATTTAATTACCCCGTGGCTCATGTCGCATATGCTGTTGAACTTACTAATCTTGCTTGGCTGGTTGATTTCGTTCTTTTCTGGTTGCATCTTTTGTATCTTTTCTGGGGATTGGCAGCTACGACAGTCTGCGTTTTCGAGGGTGAGGTATGTCCACTCACTGATGAACTCGGAATCACCTGGGCATCTCTCATCATCCAGCTCTGGGACTTTGTATGACTTCGTGGCGCGTAAAGATTGGATGGATTTGGGAGGCGTGCACCTGCGGTGCGGCCATATGATCTTTGCAGTTCACCAGAGGTTCAATTGCCAAGTTCAGTCCCACATGATTCGTTTAATAGAAATGGCACCCCTAGTTGCTTGGGCCAAATCTGCTTAGACAGCGGCACAACATTAAAGTTAAGCACATGACCCCTTCTGAACATGTTTTGAGCTAACTCAAAAACGAGGAAGATTGTGGATTGCTACATTCAAAAATAGTAAGTTCGATGATGTGTTTGTAACTTTAGAAGGGTTTGTAGTAGTTAACTACAATTCATGCCATAAACACTTCCTTTATATCCGGATTGAATCATGGATGCACAGCGCTAACAGCAATCCCATATCCCCATCAAAATTGTATCTGCGACTCATAATGCCAGTCAGGTCCTCCAGCCCCATGATATTGACAACCAGCACTGTCAAACCCCATATCATTATACATGTCATGATGTGTCGATGTGTGTATATATATATACATATACATACATATACATATACATATACATATACATAAATATATAGATATATATATATATATATACACGTATATATATATATATACATAAATATCATATATACATATTAGGTCGCCATAAAAAGACAATATGATGATCCCCAAGAAGTTTCTGACAAGTTTCCAACCCTTTTCCAACTTCCTGATGTCTATTGATGGTGGCCTCCAATTTCCAAGTTAATTTTGTGGTAATTTAACAGTTGCTATTGAGCAAAATAGTCAGTTTATAGATGATTCATCTCTAATTAGATGCGAAACATCTGCTTAAATTGTTACATTGGACATAAACATATATAATCAATTATAATCATATATATATGTATATAATACAATTTCAGCTTATATATATATATCCATTATGTCACCATATTTTGTGCTTCAAAGCACTAAATCACCATGAATAATCAGCATAGCTTATCATCCATCACCTTTAGAAATCACCATGATTTGCAGCCAGACAGCAACCCCAGGATGATCACCTATGAGAACATCTCCATGGTCAAGGGCAAGGAACCACGCAGCATTTGGTGACGACCAGACCCAGGCGCGTTGCGCGATGCGAGGCCACTGAGATTTGGCCTGCAAAAATGTGGATTTAACCAGCAACCGGGGGATGTAAGTACCTTCGAGTTTGTACGAGAACAACTGATTTCCGTCCACGTTGGTACCGCTCTGCGTATCCTAAGCCAGAACATTCACTTTCACGCGCGCCATGTTCACAACTCAGACTACTGTAATCTACTGTAGATACATCATTTCCGAGATCGTCATTAACTCAGAGGACTTTATGCAGTTGTCACAAGGATGAGCGGTAGGATGACGGGCGCCAAGAAAAACAAATTTTGACCATGGCACCATGTGTGTCTGTCAAAAAAAATAGGGATGCCCCAATTGGATCCAATTGGCACATTTTCAATGGGAAAAGCAATTACTTTCTTCGAGTGATCCCCACCGACTGACATTCTATCTGGCATATATTCTGACTTTTTTTTCTGACATTCTTTCTGGCATTCTATTTTGCATATATTCTGACATTTTATCTTCAGGTCCAGGCATGGCCCACAGCATCTGCAGCTGCTGATATGGGGGTCTAGAATCTAGAGACCTTCACCTGGCAGGTGGCCAATAAAGCATGAATTTGGGTGAATTATGGTGAATTTGTTGAATTTTTAAATGAGTCTTGAGACATATCCATTTGGGTATGGTTCCATACGTACTCATACAACTCATTTGATGCATGATAGTACCATAGTAATTAACCTTGGTTATACAAAGGGATTGTTATTGACATTGAAATATACTTTACAAGAAACCTTTCTATTTGGAGAAAAAAAACACGGAACCCCCCTCTACAATGGGTAAGTATTATCCCCACCTGGCTGAAGGCTTACTATAAACCCCCATGATATCAGGATTACATACCGTTATTTATATTAATTTTCTCATATTGTGGTGATATATCCCGTATATTATACATAAACATGTATATATAATATATATATATATATAAGTTCATCGGTTCACCACGATTTCAGGGCCCCGTGGCTCAATGCATATAATTTATATATATATATATGGGGATGGGTCAAAACCTGGTACCCCTGGTGAACATCAAAATAGCTGGTAAATGGATGTTCATCCCACTAAAAATGGTATCTATAGGTATTGACCCATACCCATACATATATATCCCAGATTGTGAGTTTTTTCTATCCCCAGTTGCCACAACATGGTTCGTTGAATCCCCCCTTTTTTGGGGACGGACCCCGCTCGAGGTGCTCGACCTGCCAGCCAGTGGTGTAACGTTGTGAACACCGGGAGCAGCACTCGTGATGGGAAGATAAGGTACTCATAATTTGTACATTATATATGTATATATATGACATATATATGACATGTATAAGACATATATATACATATATATATATATATATGTGGCATATATATATACATATATACAATATATATATACATGTATTTGTATGCATATATATATCATATATATATACACATATTGCCTCCCATACCTTATCTGAGAACTGGGCTTTTCTGAGCTCGTGAGACTCAAATTGCAAAGCAATTGACATAGTTTTGGCAAAGAGATGACAACCTCAAGGGGTGTATCAACGGAGAATGTTTCAATAGTTACTCACACCGACCTGGCAACATCAAAATGCGGCCGCTGTGCGCCCGGCAACATCATTCTGCCTCAGCCTGATCTTAGAAGACTTGCCGTAAACCCTGGATGGGTATACCATGGTAAACCTATTGGGGGTGAACTCCATCAGTTTAAGATGCAAACCCCAAGAATAAAAAACAAAAGGCAACCATTACACCGCATGAAACTATCCTGTGGGGCTGCGCGGGTGAAACGATAGAACAGTCGTGGAGTCAAGAAATGAGTTCAGTGATGTTATTTCAACATATCCCTCCAGAGAAACAGAATGTTCACAGCACATGTTTCGTGCCTTGGCTCGGTCAAATCTAAACTGGTTATCAGTTTGAGTGTTTTTGTGGATGAACACATGGAACGTTTGCATGCACGCCCTTCACCCAAAAAACATATGTGCACTCCGGTAATTTGACATACTATGGAAAATAATGTTTAGTAGGTAAATTATCGAACTAAACACACCATTTTCCATAGTTTGTTTTGTTCCCATTAAGGGTTCAAGGTTGACTTAACAGTAATTGTTGCAATTCTGCTGGAATCCAGGTTGGGCGGGTTCGGTCCATGTTCCATGTTTATGCTGACGGACAGTGTGCAGTCCCACATTTTGGTACAGTCATTCTCACGTTTGGTAGAAGTTACCCTCTGGTAATTTAACAGTTTGCTATTGAAAATGACCATAGAAATAGTGGATTTACCCATTGAAAATGGTGATTTTCCATAGTTTTTTGTATGTTTACCAGAGGGTATTGAAATTTGGTAGAAATTGCCGGAAAGTGTCGCCCTTGTGATCGAACGATTATATAATGTTGGAGCGGAGGATACCAAAAGAATTTGCCCAGCTGCCTGTCAGATACAGGATGGGCCCCCCCCAGTAATATGTTGGTTCAAAGACAGAAAGTAAACACCATGGATACTAGAGTTATTTGCGTCTCATAAACCATAGTTTTTTTGGAGTTATGAACGCACCAACTGAACGCGATTTCGTACACGGGGGCCCCGTTCGATCACTAGGTACGGTACCCCGTGATCGTCGGTAAAATCAGCCCGGGTGTCGCAGGCATGGGCTGGCTACAAAGCTTTGCCACCTTTGCAACTTGGGACGAGGGATGGGACGATGGGATGGGATATTGATCTGGGTAAATTCATCACGACCGAAGCCTGTTCTCCCGAGCCCTGGAATCATAGTAAGGGGAATCATCCCCTGGGCCGCAAGATTCAGGTTAGTGAAATATGATAATTTACCCAGATTGATGGATATTGGTTGTTCCTTTTAGAATGTTTCTATATATTGATATCCATCAAAGAACATGAGATGGTTCTATATTACTGTATAGTAATGGGATATAATGTTCTTTGTGGATATCATGGGATGTTTCTATATTACATTATTACACTACTATACTTTTCATTGTGTCCTCAACAACTTTCGCAGTAAATACACTATCATTTGCCGCTCACTATTGTCCTCCAGCGTCTAATCCCCATTTGCGTGTGGCCATGTTGTTTTCATGGTTCTTGCAAAATTAAGGGAGACTATGGAAATGGATCAAATGCCGGCCTCACTGTAGTGCACATCTCACACGTGTTTTATACCAGAGCAGCCGATGAGAAAAACAAATCCATTTTGGGTTTATTTGATGTAGAAACATAAATAAAGGAACTAAGCTGGGATTCAGATTACCAGATGTACTCGAAAACTGCTAGGAAATCAATACATCAATAGCCTCATTGCAGGATTGGCAGTTACTGTGACTTCCCCCTCTTGCTATGGCGATCCTTCAGTTTTCCATAGACAATTCTGGAATTCCTGTGCTAGTCAATAAGTTTTCTGTAACACTGACAATTCTTTTTCCAACAGCATCTAGCTCTGGGATGATATCCATGGGCTTCCAATCCATGCGGGTACCCCTCAAATCATCCAGTCATTAGAATAGATTTTAGTAGTGCTTCTCATTTTAAGGACCCCCCCATATCCCATAGGATCCATGTATGCTATATATGGTAACATGGATCCCATCAATATACCCCAAATGTTAGCATATATATCAGCACCATGAATCCTATGGGTATATTGCTGTGGCATATTCCATTAAAATATCCGGAACTAATAGGTCCACTAGTAGGTCCCCATTTTAAGTGGGGTTATCCCATATGTAACTGGGTAACGTGAAAACGTGATGATACGACGTATCCAACAACAACTATAGCCATTAATTATGATTCATATAATTCATAACTGTCTCTCATAACATCCCAAAAAAAAACATTTAAGTGATATATATATATATACCATTAGTTGCAGGAGCTATAGTCTCACTTATAACTGTTAAGGGCCACAAGATGAAGAAATCCCCTTGCCAGTGGCCAAGCCTTGTCGCCTTGCCTTGTCCAAGGCTTGGTCGCGGCATCGGTGGTATCGTGCTGCTGGCGGTGAGGCGGTGGCGGTGGGGTAAAACTGGGCAAAGTCTTGGTGAATGGTTAGTGAATGGCTAGTAAATGGTAAGTGAATGGTTAGTAAATTGATATAACTTGATACATCATGAACACTTTCTGTTTAATGTTAGAATGTGATGTCCTGCATTAAATATTGCCGGTCATCAAACATGGGAAATCTCCAATCAACGGAGCTTGTTTCGGTCTTATTGGGGGGTCCATCAATGGAGCTACCCCAATAGCTGGATGGTTTGTAATGGAAAATGCTACAAAAAAACGGATGGTTGAGGGGTACCCCCAATTTAGGAACCTCCAAATATGTTTGTTATTTGAAGTAATTCAACGGAGATTTCGTTTATTACTGTTAAAGCATCCAAGACATTCGCTCAAAATTGACAGATTTAAAGCTACAGTCGACCCACTTTTTCTCATAAGCCAAGAAAAAGGGGCGGGCTGAAGGATTCTCAAAACTTGTGGTGTCTGACGCAATGGCCGCAAAGTTTGTCTAAGGAGGCTACCCCTATATGCCACAGTTGATCGCGGTTTTCGCATTGAAAGTGCCATAAATGTTGGTTTTCATGTTGGTATCACCATTTTCTGACAAAACACATACCCTCTGGTAATTTAACATAGCTATTGAAAATGACCATAGAAATAGTGGATTTTCCCATTCATAGCATGGTGATTTTCCATAGTTATGTAAACGTTTACCAGAGGGTATCAGTATATATCAGTATGACAATTGTGAGAAGTGAATTCAGAGGGTCCATGGATGGTACAAAACCCCACTTCTCCCGACATGTTGAACAAAGACTTGGTTGAAGATTACGAAAGGAAGGCCCGAGATCGTGGACGGGGAAAAACACTTCAATTCATGCGTAAAACATTCCTTAAACGTTGCACAATCATGTTACCCTCTGGTAATTTGTTACAGTTTGCTATTGAAAATGGCAATTTATATATAGTGAGTTTTCCCATTAATAGCATGGTGATTTTCCATAGTTATCTGGATGTTTACCAGAGGGTATTTTGTTATGCTATCCAATATACTTTATACTTTGGGGTTCTGGGTGTCGCTGAATTCACCCCAGGGGACATGTCCAGTTGTTTTTTTGATGTAAATTGGGATTCCAGTTTATGGTTGGTTTAAAGAATTTCATAAACCATCCCCCAGTCATCACCATTTTTATAGGTGGTATAAAGTGGTATTTATAAACCATTATAAACCTTTCCCAGACATAGGTGGTTTATGGCATTGTTTTACCCACATTCATCACCATGAATCCACCATGAAAATCCCAGTTTCCATCTCCATTCGTATGATACATTTATGACAAACGGTTGGTTTATGACATTGTTTCACCATCTTTTTTCACCCCTTGTAACCACCAAATAAAACCACCATGGAAAAGTTTATGGTTGGTTTATGTTGGTTTAAACCATTCCTTTTTCTACCGCGAGGACAGTTTCCCTTGTGTCCTTAGCTCCAGCTTGATCCGCCAGGCAAGATGTGAAGCGACCTGCGGAGTCCGGTGAGGCGGATTGTGGCGAAGCCAGTGGAGATATGAATCAACGAGCACGTGGCGATTCAATAAAACAAATGGATTTAACATGATTTGACCAGCCATTTTGAAAAGAGTCTTAAACAAAAACACCATATGAATTCCATATGATGTTTTTTCCAGCAATACATTGGGATTTACGAGCAATAAATGGTGATTTAAGTTACTCGTATGAATAAATGATTTGCCTTATTAAAGTCTCATATCATTTGCACAAAGGGCCTGATGTAAGGGTTTGATACATTTTCTTGCTAAAAGTGACCCTTTTTCACTCACCCTCGGAGTTTGACAAAACATAGTTTCTCACAAACCAAAACGTGATGTTGATACAGGAAAATATCAGATACCATGTTCCCTGACAAAACAAAATGCCTGCAAAGCAAAGTAGCAGTTGAATGCAGATATGAAAAGTTTTACTTTTCCTTCAACCAAGATACCCTCTGGAAAATTTAACATAACTATGGACAATCACTATTTTTTCATAGGTCGTGTTCATCTCTAAATCACCTTTTTGAATGGGTCGTTTTCCAGTTCGCCCAGACCTGCAAGACCTGCAAGACCTGCTGGGTGAAAAGATGTGAAAAGTCTCATTTATGGCCAAATGAAAACTATGTTTGCTGATTAAGTTGCATTCTTGATTTCTAGATCCTGACAATGTATATACCGAGAAAAACTCTATGTAATCA